TGTGTGTGTGTGTGTGTGTCTGTGTGTGACTCTCTGACTGTGTGTGTGTGTGACTCTCTGTGTGCGTGCGTGCGTGTGTGTGACTCTGTACGTGTGTGAGACTGTGAACCTCCTCTGGCCCCGAGCGGTGAAGAATGTAGGGGCTGACATCTAGAAATGCTGGGGCCCACCCCGCCTCCCCCCACCCTATCCTCCATCATTGACCATTACCCTTGAATGCACTTGTCTCCAAACCCCCACGTGCCCTCACATCCACAGCAGCGTCGAGCCTCTCACTCTCTCTGTGTTTTATTCACTGAAAGTTTACATGGCAACCTGCCCCCCTCGCGCTGAATCAGCACCTCGCTGTTGAGGAAGAGAAAGGGTTCACTGGGGGGAAAGGGGCTGGGAGACGGGCAGGGCGGCCTGCGACGAAGGCTGAGTTGCCTGTGCCGTCTCGGGGTGTTTGACTGCCGCCTGCACAGCCTCACTGATGCACCGTGCCACGTAAGACAGGTTCTGATTGTTGATCAGGCTGATGTTGATCTGGCCAATGGACGTCAGGTGGATATGCCTCCTCTTCTTCAAATACTCAATCTCCGAATCTGTCAGGGAGTCACAAGGAATGCGGTGAGTGACAGCCGGGGTGGGGTCAATCAGATTTCTGTCCATCAGCACCGAGGGCGTACCCTCCCAGCCCCAGCCCCAGCCCCCCTGCCACGGGGTCGGCCCCTGCTGTGGGAGATGCACAGCAAGATCCCACATGCTGTTTGCCAGTCTGGAGCGATCAATGTCTAAGAAGGCCGTCCAATCCCCGCCAGCACAGTGAAGCCCAGATCAGAGATAGAGCAGCGTGGTCAAACACAGGAAAAGCTCAGCAGTTCTGAGGAAGGGTCACTGGACCCGAAACTCTGAATGTTCTTTTCTCTTCACGGATGCTGCCGGACCTGCTGAGCTTTTCCAGCAACTTCTGTTTTTGTTCCTCATTTATAGCATCTGCAGTTCTTTTGGTTTTTATTACGTATTGCATCAGATTAAAAGAAAAAAATTATAAATTTGTTAGGAATGGCGGTGAACCTGACGATTGGGAGGCTCTCAGAATACAACCAAGGTACAGTTGATGAAAGAAAAGGAGAGTACAATAGAAATACAATCTCTCACAAAAGAGAAGATCAAAACGGACTGTGAAGGTGCAGGAAAAGGAAACTTTGCTATGAATTGTGCGCATTCATCTTAACCAGTGTCACGAAATTTTATGATGGGGAGAGGGAAATGGGAAGGAAGCTGCATGATTGAATTTTGTATTTGAAGGAAAGGCGAAAAAAATCTCCCACAAACAGAGATCGAAGTGGTCAGGGGCATGAGGAGTTGAAGGCAGTTGGTATCAGTCAGAGGGTTGTGCTGGAGAAATTCATGGGACTGAAAGGTGAAGAATTCCCAGGACCTTACGGTCTACACAAAGACAGCAAATATCAGCCCATTGTTTAACAAACAGAGTGAGAGAGAAAAGCTGGACCTTGAGATCCGTTAGCCACATATCATTGACAAGGAAATTGCTGGAATTTATTGCGATGAACAGACAGTTGGGTACCAAGTGATCTGGTAAGGCACAGTCAGCACAGATGTGGGAATAGGATGGAGCTAACTTTGGAGGGAGTTTGGTTCGAACACACAGAGTACCACATGCTGCTCTGGTTTCCCTAACTCTCGGATAGACAATGTGAACGCGGGTAAGCTGGGGGTCTTGAACCAAAGGGAACAATTTGGAAATTATGGGAATGGCTCTCAAGTCCGAGAATAGGAGAAATGTTTGTTGCTTGGAGGGTTGTAAACCTTCGAAATCTCTCTCCCAGACAGCGATAGAGACTTAAGCCTTCAGGTATTTTTAAGGAAGAGATTGTTAGATTTCTCATCTATTTCTGGGTTGGTTTCGGATAGAGGTGTGGGGTGGGTAAAGGACGTAGTGATGTCCCATTAGCCACGACCATGTTAAATGTCAAGACAGGATCAATATGTTGAATGAACATCTCCTGTTTATTATAAAGAAACCTGCTTGATGGATCTTTTTATTTTAAAGTGGAGACAGCAAATGATTGGCCATAGTGGGAACTGACTCTTCTTTTCAAAAAAAAATTTACTCAATGGATAAGGTATTCCCTGGTGAGGCCATTATTTATTGCGCATCCCTAAATGCCCAGAGGGTAGTTGAGAGACAGCCATACTGCTGTGGGTCTGGAGTCACATGTAGGCCGAGACCAGGTAAGGATGGCAGTTTCCTTCCCTCAAGGACATTAGTGAACCAGATAAGTTTTTTCAACAAGAAATGACAATGGTTACATGGTCATTGTTAGACAAGCGTTTCTTGTGTTGAATTAAATTGTCACCAAGTGCAGTGGTGGGATTCGAATCCAGGCCCAGACGAGGTTAGTGACGATGCCACAAGGCTACTGCCTCCCTGTGCAGCCCATGGCAGCGTGGGACTGGGGAAGGACAGCACACTGCTCTAGTCTGGGCGATATCTGCGTCTCACCTTCTGCAAACAGGGTGCTGTGGTGTACCTTTCCATCCCCTCTGGTGGCGGGGGGTGGGGTGGAGGCGCTGACCTTGTCGGATTTCTGCCTCCCCTGTGGTGATCCTAAACCATGGCCACACCCAGACCGTACCAACCCTCACCACCCCCCAACCCAACAGCCGACCCTGACTCTCAGACCGTGAGGTCCATTCACTGCGGCTGCTTGTGGGATCTTGCCATGCCGGGAGCTGACCTGTGAAGTCGGCGAATATGTATAGTCCGATCTGGCGGCTGATGTAGTTCAGTGGCCTGAGGGTTCCCAGAGTGCGCAGCTCCTCCGACAGCTTCTCCCTTGTCAGCATCAAACGCTTCGCCATGTTCCTGAGGTAGTGCTGCCTGTGGCCAGACCGAGCAGGAGGGAGACATGGAGAGCCAACTGTTACCTTGAGGAAACATTCCCTCTGCTGGTGAGCCTATCCGCTGCAGCCCACCCTCCACCCTCCGCGCACACAGATTTTCCCCAATTTTCAGGGTGAAAAGGGAACAAGCTTGGAGTCGGGTGGGCACACCTATTGCTCAAAAACGAAAGGTTTTGTTTCCATTTCGGCCTGGGACAGTTTTGCAGAGGCCTCTGGATGAAGGGGGATGGACGGATAAACAGTGTTCCTGAGGAAAGGGGGAAAAGATTCCAGCAAGCAGTTCCGGAATAATTGCAGACCAGAACTGTTGGGATAAAACCCTGAAGAGGTTACTTGAAGCTGAGAGTATTTAAATTCCAGGAAGCAGCTGTCAGCTTTTGTAGTTATTGTGTCAGCAAAATGAAATGTGTTGAAGTGTTAGAGAGAAGGGATTCGTTCTCTGGTCCATTTACAGGACTGAGGCAGTTTTTGGGGATGGGACACAGTTGTTTTTGGGATCCTAATCGGAGTGTTTTGGATTATTGGGATTCCATTTTACTATCTGCTTCACAATCTACTACTTGTGTTAGGTTTAAATAGATTGATTTCTTCTATTTTATTCCCATTTCCCACTGTGCAATAAGGTTATGTTTTACTGTTTAAAACCAGACATGTAGTACTGTGTGTTTCAGTGAGGGAGCATCTCATTCAAACCCAAAAAAAACAAACACCCCACAATGTCTCAAGCCAGACGTTCATCTGGGATCTGCCTAATCGAGACACAATATCAGCTCGGGTCAGAACAGTCTGCCTTTTGAATTTTTGTTGTTGAAGTCCTATTGTTGAGTTGATCTCATAGAAACCTATAGAAGCCTAACCAGACA